TTCTCACAAAAATATGCTCGTTGATGTAAATCTTACGTCACAACTTTTTCATCTTCGCGTCCCGTATCGAGCTCATTCCACATTGCACAAATTCACATTCCATACGAAATCCAGTTTGTAATGTGAATTTTTCTGTGAGTTTGCGGTGATTTACCCAAACCAGTGGTAAGCATGAATGGCCTGCATCAACACAATTCACATCACGTAAAATAGCAATCTATGTGTTATTCCAAACGGATGATATACATAAAGATGCACAAACAAATCTGTCCTCCCTCTAGTGTTAATATGTCACTTGAAAACTCCGTAAAGCCCGTGCAAAGTAGGCGTATCTTTGCCGGAATCCCACAATGATGCCAACCCAGTTGAATGGGCACATGTCAGTAATGCAGGGTTTGTTTTCATTATGTGATGAATTTTGTCGTGAGCAGGGTTAGAAAAAGGTAAACTGAATATCTAGGAAGCAGTTGGGTACGTTCCTACCTGATTGGGTCTGGTCAGTACTAACCGATCAACCAAACAGAGGCTCAAATCCGGAACCTCACAAGTAAAATGAAACCCTGTTCACGGCTTGATAACCAGGTAACTGATAAAACTGTTTTTCTTTCTTCGTCTATACATAATAAAATAATTAGGTTATCAAACCCCTTCGAAACATCGTTGCAGCACTTTCCAGCTCCCTATTTCACATTTCGTCTGCTGCGAGTGCGGCACAGCTCAGTAAAAAATGTTTGATTTTGCTAGCGCCATATATGTGACCCACCATCGGCTAGTTATAATATATACATATATATATAAATATATACATATATATCATCGAACTCAGGCAGCATCCTGACCTTTGTCATATTTATTTCTCCCATCTTTTAGTGTTCCAAGGTTCATTCACTCAAGGTCGCGCAAATTCAAACGGTGATAAAAGAGAACTAGTAATAAAGAACTGGGAGGCAAAGTTCGGTAGAAATATACACTTCGCCCATAGCCATCATTATACACGTATGATATGGAAAATAGAAACGTATTCCCAAAATGGCTATCATGTTGCACAAGTTTAATCAGCATCTTTATATATAAATATATATATTTCTATTTATATAAAACCAGAGAAACTCATTTATCTTCCTGTTCGCCAATATGTAACAAATATTTTGTAACCTTAATAACTTTGTGTAGAACAATGCAAACATCAGACCATTATCTGCTGAGTTGTTCCCCATAGTTCTGTACGTACTAATTAAAAATGAGTACAGAATCGTTTACTCCAACAAAAAAGGAACAATATAAGTTAATCTTCAAGGAAGTTAGCTTTAGAACAATAAATGTTCGGTAACTTTATCTTCATTCACGATTTGAGTTACATTACCGGCAGACAAATCTTTAAAGATGTTATTTGTCTTTTGAGGGAGAAATCTTGTCTAATGTACAAACGAGTTGCGGCCCCAAGCTAGACTGTGGAGTTTAAATGTTTTAATTAGATTACTACTTATGATCTCAGTGACCAAATTTTACTATTATTTATTACACAATGGAATACACGTTTGTTTTAGTATTTGACCGGGGAGCCACCATCAGTTAACAAGGTTTTACTACGATTGAACTGTTAGCATTGAACTGCTAAGCATAAGACTCGGCGTGTTCCGAGTTTTCCACATTCAGACATTACTATGTCCTGTGGCATGCAAATACATCATTTACAGTTGATTAGCAGGTTTACGATCCTACCCGGGTCTATCAAATACAGTCACCGTGTCCGAAATGTGGATTTCAACCAGCGGTTCATATCCAATGATACCTGAACTAGGCAGTCCTTTCTTCTCGAATGAGTTACGAACAAATCAGGAGTTACTTCTGTGCTCCTTCGAATTTTGTTGGTGAAGATTATGAGCAAAATGACGAAAAGAGTAGAACAAAAGAAGACATCACATGATCGTAGACACAATTTAAGTGTATGTGTAATTACGTGTGTCGTCTGTGTGTGCAAGTGTAGGTGGGGCTGTAGGTGTATACATGTGTGTTTTAGTTGTTGTTGGGACAAAGAAAGAGAGCATTTGCGCGCGCCCTATCTCTCTCTTTGATTCTGGTCCACTCCCGATCCATCGTGAAAATGATACATTTTGTTTAATTTCTCAATAAGCATGCAGTGGAGACAAAAAGTCACCAGCAACAGCTGCAGCAGACCGAGTACATTGAGCTCTTTGATCACCAAACGATGCCGGTATGCGTTCAACACCGATTAGGCGAAAAGTTATGAAAGAGGGAGAGAGAGAAACAGAGAGAGAGAGGGAAAGAGACGGAGATCGAACGATGGAGTGCGGGAGATGGGTTCGGGGCCTGTATGCTCGTGTTTTCTGAATATATCATGGAGAAGTAATCTGGCTTCATGTACAGTTTACTGGTTCTTGTTTCGTGATTATATACTGTAAAACCGGAAATGGAACGAAGAAAGACAAATGAAAGCATCGAACAAACTGTAAAGCAGACAAATTTATTCGACAAAACGGGATTTGTTTTCATATGCACTGAAGTTGTTTCCTTTTGAATAGACATTCATAATTTTGCATATTCATCTCAAGCCGTCATTGTTAATAATGTATCTGTTAATAATACTCAGTTGAATTTCGTTAGCAATAATACTGATAACAATGGTCAGTCTGTTTTATATCCTGCTAGTGCGAAATGGATTGAACTTAGCAAAGAAAATCTAGGTAATCAGTCTAACCGGCTGCTACTTTCGTAATTTCAGTCAAAACTTCATCGGTTCACTCAAGGTGAATTGTACGAGCGTTACAAAACTTGTTGACTAGATAACTGGGGTATTTCTTTTCGTTGATACCTCTGTACGCTGGCAAGATTAGAACCAAACTATTGGATGTTCTTCCCGGTGTTTCTGTGTAGGGATAGAGCGTTTGCTAATCCATTTACCTCAGGGAACTAGCTCAATAATGCATACAGCACAGTTTCCTGAGTTGCATTTATTAAATCTGCATACTTGAATAGAGGATGTCATTTTGATATTACAAGCCCGGTTTACATAACATTTACTGGTTACACTTCTATCTTTTCTGAAATCATCGTACAGCAAAATACCGAAACTAAACTTGAACAATAACTAGCGAGCTCACACTAAATGACAACCTACAATGTGAACAGGAATTAGGCCTAATTGGCGAAGGTAAAGAAAGTGAACTTCTATGGTCAAAACACGAAGTACACGACCCAGTTGTGCATAACTAAATTTTCAAACATTCTGACCCGATAAGAAGTGACAAAGAGAACCTCACTTCTGTCGGTTAGCTGCCATATCCTTCAAGGTGTCAAACCAATCATTCGCAGAGTGTTTTGGAACCGAATCTGGAATACACGAGACACCTACTATACTAACCAATCAGTGCACTTCCTCATGCATCTTTTCCAGATCATATTTAGAATTCTACCTATTTTTCTCCACCACAGAACCGCAAATGAAAATGAGGCGCGGCAGACGGCCACTGGGTTTGGGTGATAAGTATTACAACCAGCAAATCATACAAATATGAATTCGCTATAATAACGAATTCTAAACCGAATTTTTATCAAATACTCGTCAGTTGAGCTTTGTGTTGCTTACACCTTCATACCAGCCAACTCGTGCCAAACAACGTGGGCATCGACAGTGAAAGCCTTCACTTGATGAATGTCTTCCACGAGGAAACCAATGGTATTGTAACCGGAAAGCGGAACTGACCGTTTCAAGGAAACCACATCGGCACCGAATGAATGTCACTTCTACGTACGTTACTTGGGCTTTGGAAACGCAAGCAGCCACATGCTTTACTATTCCGCAGTCCATTGCTACAGAACTACCTAATAAGGGAAGGCAATTAACAGTAACTCGTTCTTGCCGAGGTAGACAAAACCCAATCTTGCAGTATCCCTTCGAAGTTCGAGATTAATACATTTTCGTTTTTAATTTTTAATAATCTAAATTGAATTTGAAGAATTATAGTTTTTATTCTGACTCTTGTCTCACGTCATCCGCATATTATTGTTCTATTTAAACTGAGAGTAGAATTATTTCATGGTCGAATCTGATATCTTTTGCTTCATATCTTGTTTGCAGTGGTTGAGAAATTGTACAGATTTTCGTTCATGACATAAACAATGATGGAGCTTGCATATTGTTTCATTTATTTAATTTATCGGATGCTGAAAGAATGTGTTAAACTAATCTGAAGCTTAAGCTCCAGCAGGCTAGTTTGACAATATTGCCAAGGAAACACGTATAATCTGAATCCCTTTTCGGAAGAGCTTATATAATGAAAGACAAGTGTGTTTTCTGTCCTTTTCAAAGCAAGCGGTAAAGGCAGCGAGATTTTTAAATCCAAATACATTCGGATAAATAAATTCTTCTAAAGTGTAGAGATGCAATAAATCGATTAAATGGACTTTCTGGTGGTCAAGTATATATAGATATATATACGTCCAGCTTGAGTTCTTATTGCAATATCACTGAACAAATTTTCCAAATATCAATGATGTTTACTTGTTACTGATGGCACTTGTTTCTAACTAAAACGTGTTTCATTTGTGCTTGAGCAAACCTACCTACTGTGTAGTGTCTTTGAAGGCAATTGCTTATTAAAAGATGATTTCAGGTTACCCATGTACTGTTTGATGCCGGTGAGTTGCTGACCATAGGTTTCTTGATTGACCTGTTTGGTTGATATGGCATTTGCCTATTTACTTTCTTCAAGCATATAGATACGTCTCATTACTTCGTTGCTGTGAAACTAGTCATTTCCCTTATCCCCGTGTGCAAACTAAGTGCACCGGTAAATACAATTTCATAGGTATATGAAACTACCCAAACCAACAGCAGTGGACTTCATTAGAAAAAGCATGAAAAATCTTTTCTGCAACAAGAACACCAGACGAACTATAACTCTATTTTGAAATAGCTTCGTGAATACGTATGAATTACGAGGAAAAACATCTTATTCAAACATACAAAACGCGTTGACTCACTCGATCAAATTAATAGATGAACGAGTGATTAAATACAACGGTTCAGCCTTGTTATCTAGCGACTCAAGCACTTGGGGTTCGGTATCATTTGCTTTCGAGCGTAAATCCATACTACCACCAAAGCTATCTCTGGGTACCACTAGCGAATTGTGAGACATAAGCAGTGGTACGCGTCCGGGAACTGCCAGGCTGTGCCGAGGTACGGGAAGAAAATGTGGATGGGGAGCTTGTGTGATCTCTATCGGGGGTCGTTTTACGGAGGGACCTGATTTGATTTCTTCGTTGGAAGACTGAGATGAATTGGACTGGGATTCGGCATCGATTTTTTGGATTTGCATGGATCTGGGAATTCTGAAACAAATGGAAGAGCACAAGTAAAGCCCAAACTCAGAGAATCTGTCCAATGAATTCAAACACATTTAAGGTGTAAGGTTACGCTAGACACCAAGGGCAGTGATCGATATTGTACGAAATGACCGATGAACATTGGTATTGAGCAAACCACTTTACCGTGTTTCCTTAGTTCCAGCTTTTTTTGCCGGTGCGATAGGCTAAACCACAACGAGATTTCACCATATAAGTAGATTTTATCTTCCATCGTTGATCCTACTCACTATCAGGTAGGAGGACCGTAACTTTTTGCAGTCATTGGTAGGCCTACTGACTGATTAAGTCAGATTTTGTTGCGCTTAACCAGGTATAAAATATAATCCGCAGAACTTTTGTTACTAGCTTTTCACTCATTACTTTGTCTTTTTCTTTCTTAAATCGGTTTTTACTGGCAGACACAATAGATTCATAACTTTTATAATCTCTGAATCATTTGGTTCAAAGGGGTCCATAGTTCTGTCATTCGTGTTCCGCAAATATTTTCTCCTCGATACATTGACTAGCGATTAACTGAATAACCTGCAGGATGCAGTCCACATCTCTTCCAACCATTGAAAAGTGTGCATAAGGTTGCATACCTATTGGCCACATTTATTTCTGATCTCACCTGATTAGTCAAATCATTGCTCACATTGACAAAAATTCTCTTTCAGTTAACTTTATTCTCTCATCTATTAGAAAAGTGGAAGTATCACAAAAACGGAATCGTCAAAGATTGACATTAAAAAAAACAGTGCTAACAAGCATCTTAGGAACATTTGCAGTGTTCTTTTTGCACCAGATTAGTGGGGGACTATCAACGAAAATCGATACACCTAGGCGAAAACAAAAAGATATTGTTGTAGGTTCATGGGAGGAATCACACGAGAAAACGTTGGATCAAGTTCGATCCGTCGTGTATTGGAAATCAAATATCTTTAGTAAACAAAAAGGTGTAGCACTTAGAACTGCACACTTATGGCACCTCAAAACTGAAGAATCCTTTCTTGGGGAGTGTGTGCATTTGTGAAGGGAGGGGAGAACCTGACAACTTGACACACATTCACTGATCTATTCGAAAGACCTAACCTCGGACTTTGAAATCAAGTTTAGTTTGATGAGAACAATGTCATCTCGTTGATACTCTGTTCCTATCCATTAAACTTGACGGGCAACTAACTGTCAGCTATCCTCACGAGACAACCGTCAACGTAAAGTGCATGAGCACACTCGAGTTACAACACAATTGGACTTTGTGGACTTATTGAGTAAAAAACGTCGGTTGGCAATCATTCAGTTATTTATCATAGTTGAGCAGCATCTCTGAGCTCTATGGCCTGAATGTGTTAATTTCCAATGAACCAACAGATGTTAAATCACTGTAAACATAAACGAGCAATGCACCTCTTGTGGTCATTACGTTGAACTGAATATGGTCAAACAGAAAAGTTACAGTTTTGGCGGATGAGTGCACTGATTGTTTTGTTGCACTAACTTTTACAAAACTCGCACACATTCGTGTGCGGTGTCTCCACCTCCTGAGTGACTTTGCCGAAACAAAGTAACCAACGATATAAATCTGAAGTATAAGGGATTATTAAGGATGACAGATATTGAAATATTTAGATTACAGTTATCTTTAAGGCCAACGGCCTTTATTCCACTGTAGTTGAATTTGTCAAGCCTTGTGAAGCAGCTAAACAAATAACGAAGATGTGCATTAAGTTATTAAGAGAAAATCCCTCAGCAACCCTGTTTAAATAGACACTTTCTGAATAACCATCGGTCGCCCTTCCGGAACACCACGCGGGTTGGCATTCACTACCAATCGATAAACCCTGACTTGGTTTTGGCCCAAGTAGTGTACCGACACAGAAACACACACACACGCATCTTAACTTTTGTGAATTTATCACTCGGTGATAACAAGTCAGGTAGTTTGAATAGGGATGCAAATTACGAACAATCCAACAAGCTTCACCTAAACAGGTGTCCGACCAATTGCTGTAAGTACGTCGCGAACAATAAAGCTATCCAGCGATCGAAGAATACCTGTTTACGCGTGTTATTTATTTCCTGAAAAATTCATCGAAATTGAGTCCGTGGGAACTGACTTGATAAAGACGTTCAATTAACTTTATATATATATATATATATATATATATAAACAGTAGATTGAAACACTTGTGCTCTGATATAACAATTCAACGACTGAATTCAAGTGTTGAATTTTCACAACTTCTACAACTTCCCGAGCGGCCTTTGATTGGCTGCAGTTTTCTCTCAAACTGGATAGGGACACATTAGATTTGCGTGTGCGAAGATTTGGCTGAACCGTCCTGGTATGCATAAGTAATACTGCATCCTGGCCAGCAAAAATCGAGGAATAAGAAAACTAGTAGGAATAAAGAATGATCAAATCACTTTTACATTTCGCCAAAGATACCTGCAGCAAGCCCATCACTTGCAACCTTTATGGGTGCCAATAGTTACACACCAGTACAGCGAAAATATGCCAAGAAAAACCTGACTACGTGGAACACATTGCTTACAATCAATATGAAATGTTCGAACAGTTTTGCTTCATCAGCGTTCCAGTTACAACGGTGTTGAACAGATTAGTTGTTCATATAAACGCAAAACTGATCATTTGATGTAGACCGAGTAATCCTGCTCATTAGAGATGAGTGAAAGCACACAAACTCCATAAAAAACGATTAAATTGATAGAGAAGGCAGAAGGAATCTACCTGTCATATACCATGTCATTATGTCGTAATTTCATATTTATTTGCCCTCTTAATTGTTTATTGTTGTCGTTGTATTTTATTACTGATTTTCTTACTCACTCAGTGGCAGTTTTTCGTAGTCTTCTGTCATGGTGTATCCAGATACCCTTCATCAGGATAAAGTTTCATGGAGTTTCATCATCGTCTATCGAGATGCCTAGAGGCTGAATTATACGGATCATCAACTGCTCCCTTCAACTCCAACACCACAGCACCTGAGACCTTCAACGGAATTTCACCGACAGAAATATGAACTGTGCCCAAAAGATGCTTCTTTTTATATCATATCAGAATAACGCCAGAAAAAGCTACGTTTCTCGGTGACCTAAATGGTCGACAATCCTACATCGAAACTGACTGGTTGCGCCGGACCTAATGCGGGACAGTAAGCATACAAAAACATTATTGCTGTTGACACTTACCTATTTTGATTATAATCTTCGTTTCTATCATCCCATTCATCATCGGGATAAATCATTTTCTGCACAGCCTCACTATAACGGAATATTGGGTCGAATGAAAAAGAATGGGTCGTTTTTATCTGGGTCAACATTTATAAATTTCATTGAAAACAAGTCATAATCAAGGTCCTGAAAAAAAGGCAGATAAACTAAATGGATTATGAACTTGCGTACAGGAAGGAACTCAAGGGAACAAATGCTCTTGGTATACAAGAAAAATAGATAGAATGTTTGTTATTATTTACCAGTGTTCAAAAATCTTCTAATCATTGTCTTTTGACAATATTTTATTAGCACCATTCATGAAAACAAATACGGCTAGGATTTATCAGTTCAGAAACAGAGTCTCCAGTTGTTTCCAAATTTCGAAACCGCTACCAGAACATGACAGTCTCAGCATTGGATTAGTCGATCGGCCTAAAAGCAAATCATTGACTGATTCTTTCGTCATAAAGATTGTTGTATCGATTTTTAAGTTTAACACAGCTAGGACTCAAACTAGTGTGAAATATGGTAATAATAACAAAATAGCGGTCACCTGCCATCTTCGCGCTATCACATTTTGTGCCACTTGCTTTCATGATTCTTTGTCCCCCATCCTTAGTTAATACGTTATTTATAAATAAAATCAATCCATCTATCGTTGTTGGTAGTCATCAAATCAATGGTCCAATCCTGTTCCAATATTACAGTGATCAAGAAATGTTCCTATTCATCATTTTAGCTTAAGGATATTGAATTTGTATATTTCTGAAGCGGAAAGTATATGTGGTGGTAAAGGTCACTCAGCTGTCGCACCGTAGATCATGTGTTCACATCCCACAGCCACCACCTGACTTTCCCCATTTTGTTTTGTATAGCACCTCTTTGGTTGATCACTTCACTCTTCCTAAAGATTGTATCACTATATGTTCAATAGAATGAACCGAAACAGAAACAAATGTTTGTAAAGATTGAGATAATACAACTGCGATAGATGCTAACAGTGTTACACGATGAATAGTAGATTAACCTGCCCTGTATGTATACTCAGGTAAGCTCTCACGCTGCACGTCCCGTGTTTTCTGTATCCCATCACAGAATAATCATTTATATGAATTATCCGATTGTCAATCTATTCAAATAAATAATGATTCAACCAGCAAAATGAATGTCGAATACATGAGTTAGCTAATCCAACATGATCATTCATGCATGACAATCACGTGGATTGATTATTCAAATGGGTCGCGTGACTTACAAGATCATTAGATTTCCATCTAGAAATCAGCTGTTTAATATGCATCGACTGCATGCAACTCAATTTACTGTGAATGCGCAGGTGGACTACCTGGTACAGCAACCTTACTGAAGATCTAGCTTGCGTTCTAGGTAATTCACTTGGCGACGATGTGTAAGGATGTAGGGTAGCAAAGTTGTATATCTAACTTTCAGTCCAGTGAGGCAACCATAGGGATCAGATAGCAAGCGCACAATAAAGCTGATTTTACAGATCGCATCTAGAGTACATTTGTGGATGCAGATTGCCACAATAATCACGTGAAGCGCATTCACTTTGAAATCAATTCAAGGGTGACTGTTAAAGCGCGAACGCCTTGACAATCCAGATCGTAACTGCTTGATGTCTGCGGTTTGTTGGTCTGTGTACTAAGTACACATTGTCCTCTCCGTTATCTTTTTGGTTAACGAAGCTTTAAAAAACATTTACAATTTCCAGCCAACTGAAAATGTGGAAAACGTTGTACTTTTTTTCCGCCTGCTACAGAATTATATCATTAGTCTTGGTGTCACTGTTCTCTTGAGCATCTGATATTAGCTAGCCCAGGCCATGTTTGCAGACTTAATGATACGGTTGCCATTTTCATTGGATCATAATATCTGCGGAATTCCAAAAACTCGGAATTTTGCGTAACTACCAGGTTGTTAGTAGATAAAACGGGAGTAGGAATGCTGCAAGTTCTCATAACGGCCGTAGTTATCTGCGACAAATAACGTGACCGAATTTGTCCCTGTACCGTACTAGAGTATTTTATTGGTTTATACAAATCATCATGAACTAATCGGTTGCGGGTGAAGCATTTTGTGTCTAAACTTGACTTCACATGATTATTTCTTAATGGGTAGTCCTAGTATATACATAAGCCTGAGAAAATTATGCATGATAATGTGGAGGTGGGGAGTTGGAAAACGGAAGAAAAGCGTGGCAATTATTCTACGTGTTCCGTGACTCACCGTGAGAAATATTTGCAACTGACTGCTCGACGCCATAGCAAATTGGCTTCAGTTGAATTGCGACATTTGAATCCGAGTTGAACTTCTCGCTTCGAAATGATTGGGAAAGATATAAGCATCGGGTCAAATTGAGTGCATTTAGCGCAATACGGACAGGGAGAAGGGAAAAGAACGAAAGAAAGAACAATAGTTCTACTCATTTTCATTCATCCGATTCATCCGGCAACTCTGGAACTTCTTTCGAGACAAATTTTAACTGAAAAACTTCCAAAAATTCGACGACTTTACTCCACTTTCTTATTTGTTCCTGTTTTCGTCCACAGTTCAAAACTTCTACGGGAAAAACCACTTCATTTATTGAATTCTTTTCACTTGTGACACAATAATGTTGCATGACTACTGATTACACTCATATCATGACTCCAAACCAAACTAAATAGATTTACAAATCAACTAAAAAGTGTTAAAATACCTTAAAAATTCTGGGCCAAACATTCTTCCCAGAGATCATTTAACCATTCGACCCTCAGTTCATCTAGTCACTCATCACCTTTTCAACAGTGTACATTCACCTGTACATATCAGACTGATAAAGGATTCCTCCTGTGGTGAACCAGTATGCTTTTACTACAAAAACACCACATTGTGGTAGGGTTGATGGCCCAAATTACCCACTCAAGCTAGTTCAAACTTTGTCTCAATAATAATCGCTCACTGGTTAAGGTTGTTATCTCCTGAGACATAACCAAACAATTACCACGATATTCATCTTCCACCGGTTTCGCTATCATAAACGGGTTTGGAAGTCCTCGCGTAATACATTGTTCAAAATAAAAAATAATCAAATTCCTAAATTCGTGCTTTGTTCTTATGGTCTCTACGATTAGATGGTTTGTTACATTCAAGAGGCCCTGTTGACAAGGAATTTTTGACCGACAACCGGAGAGTTCAATGATTATTTAAATAATTCCGACAAACGATGAAAAATGAAGTTCTGGGAAAATCAACACGCCAATCTCACCTTGCCTCGAGGAAGGACGATTACTAATTGTTTCCCAGTTCGTTGAATTCTGGTAATTGTTCGCCTGAGTAGAAGAGATTAGCATACATTATAAAAAGACAAGAAAGTCAGCTTGCACTTGCAATAAAACAATCATGTTAAAACAGTCGGGTTTCTTTTGTTCCTCATTTTCTGACGATGGCAGTATTTTATTTTTTCATACCCAGTAACCGAACACGAGATAGGCTGCCCGAAGCATAGCATTAACCATTACATCAAACACTTATTAGCGAGGTGTGCTCAGGATTCCTAAATATAACGAGGGCGAGAGAGCCATCACCATCACCTCAACTCCAGCGGAGGCACCAATATCTGTTTTCAATTGCAATTCTCTTGTGTGTTTTTATTCTAACCCGGTACACAATGATTTTGTGAAGCATGTAAGATTTGCATTGATTCCATAGCCTGTTTTTGCGCCAGGCAAATTCACGACAGAGCAAAATATGGGTGAAACCGTGCTGCTGAACACGGGATTTTCACTTACCAGGGGAAAACATTGGTGCGCTGACCGTTTTTGAATGCGGAGATACCTATGTAGTTGAAACCGATGCACAAGCCGGAACCTAACTGATCCTGGAACGAGAATGCATTCATGGACAGTGAAAATCTGTGGAAGTCATTTGATTTGTTAGATTTGGAAATGCATAAGACTTCTTTATATATCCGCACAGGTTAGTTCTACATTGAAACAACCATCAGGCTAAGGGAGGAAAACATAAGCACTTTAATACTAAAATTAATAGTTCAATTTCTGGAACCAAAATCGATATAATCTTCGCAAGTTCACAATACCATTGAAGTTAAAACCACCTGAAAGTTGCAAAATATTGATTGTTCTAATTAATTACTCATGTAACTGATAAACCAATTCTTCAATAAAACTCACCACAAAAAGGGTGTGCAAGCACGTCCAAATCACTAGTAAGCAAACGTGGATTTCGATCTGTTCAAAGACTCTAGAATAAACTTATCCATTCCAAATTTCTTGAATGTGTTTTCCGTTACACTCGCACTCCTGAAATTACTTTGACAGTTAGTTTTTGGTAATTTTTCCAATTTTCCACTGCATAATACCTAGGATGGATCCTTCAAAGTGATCTTATAGGGGCAAAACACATTGAAAACACTATTCTTGAATTAAACCACTTACTTATGTGACTAGTAAACTAAAGCCAATTAACGGAGCTATTAGTTATCGATTTAAATATTCTATATTTCTTCACTGTGACATTGTCCGACCTACGTCAAAGTGATTTTCAACTAATCCGCTCTGGATAAACAGTAAAATGCGCGTCCCTCGTGTCATTACATTTCTTGATGCTTTACGCTTTACGAGATCAAGGAACATCTTGTGTTTCCCCTTCTAGCAACAAAGTTTCTAGTTTAACTTATACTTAGCATACATATCGTTTAGAATGTTGCTCTCACAGTTTCAATGGGTCAGCTAACCTACTATTACCAGCTCGTTAGTCTACGAGAAAACAGTTCGTATCCAGAATCAGCACAAATCGCTTCCGACAGGGATAAGGTTTTGAGGAACCTTTCAGCAAATCCTACTATGGGCAAATTTAATTCTGACATTGTCCCCTTAAATGTCTATTTTGTTTGTCTGTTTTTCTCTCCCTGCTTACATAAACCGCGGAAACTTTTTTAGGCAGCAAAACACAACGTAGAAAATACATTTCGGATGAATTGAGAGGAGGCGCTATGATACTGTTGGCGTACTAACTGTAACTGGTGAGGTCGATTGTGTAACATAATAACCTTCTCTTCACCTAAAAGAAAACTCATGTATTAGAATAGTCAAGCTTATTGCTTGTGGGTCAACTCGTGAAGACACATAGTACTATAAAGTTGTTCTAGTTAGTTGCTTCTATTTTCTGCAACTCATTAGTCTGTTGTTTCTCTCGATGTTCCACCCTGCAATGTAAGCAATTTTACCAGTTGTGTATCCTAATTATTGATGTCTTTATCCGGGAGTCAACGATTTCAAATAATTGTGCTTATGATATCCACTACTAGTCATATAGTGAGCCATTTTAGTGACCCATTATACCGGGAGAAAATGCATCATCATGACAAAGAAAAAAACAGTGAATTACTTTCAGGAATTCATAAATTATGAATGTCGGTTTCCCGAATTCATGGCTCTCAGAATGCTTAACTCAGGTGAACGACGTCTCGAACGGGAACAAACGAATTCAACCACTGGACTCTGTTGAACGCAGTCAACAGTATGATGTAAACAAATATCCAAAGCGCTGATGAAAAAGCTAAAACATGTTTCCTTTGGGGAAAAGCAGTTTTGTTTAATTAAAGCCAGTCAAGTTATCTCTAGAACACAGATTGGATAAAACGAAACACAAACTTCCAGAGAAAATTAACCTTGGTTATAATTTAAAATCTGTCCAAAGTAAAAAGAAAGTTTATGATTTCAATCACTCTTAGACGAACACAGTGATTTTATTTTCGGAGAGGCTAATTTTGTTGAGTCGGAACATTATGCATGCAGTCCATAGGATTCCTATAAAATGAACGCTTTACGCCATCATTAGAGATTTCAGTCATATAAAAAGTGAAAAAGGAACTTCATATTAGGTCACTTTTATCAAAAAGAGACAAGAGTATATTGTGACATTTTCTCACAAGCAATAAGTGTAGCACAGAAATCTGTCACATCACTGCTTCCTCCGAAAGCCTCATTATGGTCGGGGGTGGTTGTCTCGGGTTGCGACTGGTTACTCTTCCCTTGCACTTCGCAAAATGCTCCCATACGACCAAGCATCTCACATAGCCTCTGCTGAGTAATCCCCACTCACTGTCTTTTCGTGGAGGTGTGTTCCCACCAAAGTGAGAGGACGAATAGCCGACATCCGGGGCTATAACCGGGTTGGTAGACCATTGGCCTTTCACTTAGGTTAGTTGGCCACAAACCCTGATTTCAAACAGACCAGGAAGAGGCGTACGAACTACACTACTAACTAATCGTACAAACGATTGTGATAGTAGTCACCGGCTCGATTGGGCATTAAGGCGTATTAGACACCTTGGACGTTTGACCCGTCAAATGGGCGTAGGATCCGATGAATTGGACACTGGCCCTCAATTGATCGTGGTCTTCACACACCACCCCGCTGCCTTGCGATTCATGCTTTGGCTACCCGAAGGCTCCAGTTGTGGATTCCTCAAGAAAATTCACCTGCCTTGGCCTGGGCAACCTGGAAGTATTCAACCCACATGCAAATCATGGAACGTTTTTCTTTTTCAAAAAGATTATTTTATCATGATTTGTCTGGCACACAGTCTGGTGTCAGACGTGATATATATGTATATATATATACCTCCTTCGTGAGGTAATTTGCAAATAATCGAGGACAGATCACGAGATTTAGAACAAAATATTTTACCCAATATAACATCAAATAAGCACAGTTTCCCACTCGTTACTACTTCAGTGTTTTTTAGGTAGAAACTACAATCACTAAACTGAAAAGAATAAACGAAGAGACCAGTGAAATACAGATTCACTTACCATCACCTGAAACGGTTCCATACCGTAAGTTTCCACCTGGGAAGCTACCCGAATAAATTCATCTTTAGCTTCCTCGCTTGACATCCAGCTGAATAAGGTAAAAGTGAATAAATCTCGCGAGCCCATGATTGGACTGATAATATTTAGAAGTAATATCAACAAAATGGTTTTCCAGACCAGGATGTGTTAATAAATTTGATTAGTAATGCTGCGTGGAGCAGAAAGACAGTTACAATTTCACTGATTCTGTGAGCGAGTACGAAACCCATTCTGCCATTATTCTTAGTGTAATTAAGCGCACCTCTAATCCGTAAATAACATAAACTAATGTCGTGCCAGAGTGAATAAAATACCCACACGGTCCTGTTGTTCCTCTTCATTGAACAAAGCATCAAAACTCTCGAATGTATGGAAATCAAAATATGAACCCGGAACGAACCAACCATTGGTTTTGATCAATATCAATCAATTGGAAGTTGTAACCATGCTGAACATAACTCCCTAACGATGAAAATAAGGTGGTATTTGGTGCGCGTTTGGAAAGAGTAATCGATCATTTTTCCACGGTCAACAAGTTTTGATAGAAACTTGGAAAAGCAACAACATTTTGGTGGATAATTGTGCCAGAAATTACAAAAAGGTATCTTCACATGTAAGACCACACAAAATGGACGTATTTTTTTCATTAGAATAACTCTTCATATGAATAACGGCAATTATAGAAAAATCACGTAGCCTTCATTCGTATTTTATCTTTAAAATTTGTGGGAAAAGTTTTTCATCCGAATCGTACCATCAAGCAGTACTTATCCAGATAGCAGGCTTTCCTCCTGAAAGGTTTTCATCCAAACTTACGCAAAGAGTGGCCATCACAATGCTCAAAGGACTGCAAATCCAAACTGATACCGAAAAATCGCAAAAGTTAGGACCCTCTTTGTCCCAGTAAGATAAAATTTGTTCAGATTTGATCCCCGCATGTGATAAAGTGCATCAACCCAACCATTCATGCAGTACTCTGCTAAAACTTTCCGAAAACGAAAATCTTAGGAGAAACTGATACTTTAGTATAATCGGCTCCATTGCTGGTGTTATTTCAGGAACACAATATCCTGGACTTCTCCCATGCCAAAGTCGTTTGCGCTTCACCAGTTGCTTTATTGAATTACGACTCAAAGGCACAGAAAAACCTAACTGCTCAACATCCTTGTGTAGAACTGCTATGTAAAGAATCAATTTGATTTGATTAAATACCTTTTCTAACTTTTTCTTTATGCACCTTTTGAAAAATTTGGATCTCTGGGACACTTTATGTTGCCTATTTATGTATTTATGTGTGGGGGTTGGATTGGTAGATACAATTTTTTTGTAAACCACACACAATCAAGTAATTGTATCCATCAATCCAATCTGAACACATACGTCAAATATTGTGCAAATGTGATATGCCTATTACCTATTTATATAACTGTATTAACCAAATGAGGATGTTATCAAAAACGAGCTATTTCGTGTTTTCTCTAATGTTAAAATATATACTCAGGATTTTTTAATTTTCATCATCATCATCATCATCGTGACTATTATTGTCACCACACCAGTCATCAAGAAGTGACTGTGCTCGTTCACATTATTAGCAGACTGATTCATCCAGACGACAGCATCTATGGGAAACGTACATCCTCCAATTCGGACTTGTAGACCAACCTTCAATCCGATGTAACTAAGCCAAATCCACGCTCTCGGTGTGCGGTTTAGTAAACGGAACGAAGACGCAGGAACCCACGCACAGATACTCGAAGGCAGACGCATACACTCATACAAGTGTGCACAAACAATCCAGACAATTCAGAAGAACTTGCTGCCCACTACTAAGCCTATTTGGACGAAGTACAAAAGCAGTAAAACTTGAATTAACCCAACCCTATGAATAAGAAACGCTTGTACAGTTTAAAGCAGTTGTCCGTACATGATTAGGTGTGTGCGTGGACTCGCGAGCACAATCGCACACACACACGCATCCAGAAGTAGGCAAGTTCACTCTAGTTCCACTACGCGAGAACATCTTCCAATAGGAAAACTTTACGACAATCTCGACGTGTGGATATCTCGATGGAAAACCGGGTTGCCGGTTAGCCTGTTTAGTACGCTAAATGCAGACGAACAACGTGTGGTTTTTCATTTTCTCACACCGAGACATTTTTTTGTTTGCTATTTAGGAAATGTTTAGAATTGTGCACTGTGAAAGAGAGAGAATAGATAGCGCATCGATCAACACAAGCGAATCGCTACCCGAAGAACAACAGAAAACTAAAGTTTACAATATCTAATGAACGCTATCTACGGAGGAAATGTTGAAGGCATACTTCGTTGAAACTCTTGAGGATTTCCTGCATTTATGGTCCTACAATCTGGAACTTTCATGGAGATCTAGGTTTCCATAGTGCTTTCTTCCAGGATATTTAATAGCAGAGCTTGGTAAAGAGATCTTGTTGCTGTCTTACTTTACTATGCTATAGATAGAATTGCTGACGTATAAAAGCTAGGAGAATGACAGCGTCGCACTCCAAATTCACACGAACTATCACGTTGAGTCTCGTGTGTTTACATGGAAGTAAAAAAGCATTTTTTCAGATTATTCCCATAAATCACTTGCGTCAGCCATTACATAATTTCCTTTTTACTTGGAACGATTTGGGGCGGCGCAACAATTTACAGTTTCTAGTAAACAATCGAAATTGTCGCGCCCATATATTCCTCTTGGAAATTCCGAAAACTTTGTCAGCTGTCATGACGAGAAGAAGCACGGAGATCACGCATTTCTAAACAATATGTTGTACATTCAATGCCATCTCACATGTAGGCATGAATGTCTGGTATGCATTAAAAAAAGAGAAATGTACCCGATAGTTCCGTGTACCTATTTAGCACAGATAAAACTATTGTGGTTCGGCTAAACTCCAAATATACTTCATTACCGCATCATCACCATCATCATTCAGAAAAATACAGTCAATCGGACTTGACTCATTTCTGTCAGGCTCACAATGCAAACAAAGTAAGTGAGAATGATTAGGGTGGAAAAGTGTAGGGCCCATTTTGAGGGAAGGGCCAGCACCGATTGCACAATATAACTGCCCATAGGCAACTTTTGTGCAATACAGCGTGCTACGAAGTGACAACAGCCCGCTGCCGTTGGTTAGATGCTATGTCCCTCAGTATCTCCACCCAAACGGCTATGAAGTCTTTTGTACCCAAATCTGTATGAGTGGAGACATCTAGTCAACCTAGTCTCTGTTTCTCTCATCAGGCCTAGTCTCCACTTTATCTCCTCTTGATTTTATGCTGCACGAGGAGACAGCAACAAATGAGACAAGCAGCGATAGAGGACAGCTAGACATGCGATCTATGTTTTAACCGGTAAAACCTAGTAACTTAGTTTCAATGTGATAGCGATTTTTTCCCGATAAATTCTCAAAAGACGTCAACTTACCTCTGCATTACTTTTTTCTATCACTCCATCTCACCTGCACCAAATTACATAAATATCGGACCATGGTTGTCTGCTATGCGCAAATTCAAGTTGGTATAACCGTAAAGCTCTGGCATTGACGATGTAATTTTGCCAACTCAGTACGGATTATTAAGTTCACTTCAGCTGTTATAACATTGCTCTGGATATCCAAAACTGGAACAATATTCAGGAACCTAAATGTGGTGGTTCGTAATCTGGCAACCTGGACAACGATTAGTTATGTGAGATAATCATCAACCGTCAAGACCTGATCTCCCGGACACTAACACAGACGGAATAGGGAGTTGATCAGTGTACTTTTACCCTTAGTATGATTGAGAATAGTAAAAGGAATCGTAGCAATACTTAAACTAAGGGTAAAAATGCACAAATACGCCGTAACATTGGTCAAGTCTGGCACCGAATTACCCATTTGCTTGGAACAATGGCGGTGTTTTTCTCATACCACAACAAAAAGATTTGTACAGAGTGTAACGAGCCGCTAAAAGGCGATCGGCGAAAAAATATAAACAATTATCGAGTATTCATAAGAACTTGAAGCGAAGATATTTTAAGGGTCATCTTGATTCAAGCAATAGGCGGTGCAGTGTAATAACAGCATTTTAATTTGATGTAGAAAACAAAATAGGGAACAGTGACACAGACAGTACGTACAGGATTGTTTCCAGTTGGGCCCGAATCTGTGCAACAGCTTCCTTGCTCAAACCGGGGAGTACCCGCAGGCCACCAGGTACGCGAACAACATCAAAACCTTCCGGAATAGATTTAAGAGCATGGTCGGCTGTGAAATCGAAATTCATTTGAGAAAGTGTGAGTTGGGATACACATATATAGGTGTGAAAAAAGAGGTAAAGTTATCGTTGGTCATTAGTTTTGAATAATTTACGAAAACTCTTTGAGCGTCCTCGAGAATTTCTTAATTGATACACCTAGATTATATTGATAAAGGAAACTTAGCAATTTCGACATTAATGATAAAACCTAGATTGAAACTATGGATTCCCTGTATTCATCAAAGAAGAATACGAATGAAACGGACATATGTCACATGTTTCACTCACTCTTTTCTCTGCCACCGTACATTTCGATATTCGTGTGAGAGAAAACGGGGACGCGTGATGGTGACTATTTCCTAGAGTGGTATCGTTTGTGTAACCTGTGTGTGAATCTAATAACTATCTCGGGACAGGTGTGCAGAATAGATCAAACGGGTTCATAAACCGGCCCACTTCCCCCCTGCTGGATGCTTCGCGCACACCCACGTATAGAGAGAAGAGAGACACGTACATTCACAGGTTTTATGTGATTTACGTGCAACCGCGTGTTCTAAGTGAAAAAGAACTACCAAACTTCTATTTGGTCCGAGTTCCAAAAAGGATTCCTGTCGAACTTAATGCTGGCAGGGATGAATAACGGTTTTGGAACTAGTAACAGAACCATCATAAACAAGATGACCTCAATCTGAACAGACAGATATTATAATTAATTGATTTTTATAGAATTAGCAAACATTTTGGCCAGAAAAGGTATAGTCTCGTCATGGACACAAGAC